GGAAAGAGACAGGTACATACTAGCAATCCTATGCACAGTGTTAATAGAATGCAATGAAATCGTGGAAAGGATGAAAGTATAGATTAATGGAGATAAGTGGAATTAGGTGGGAAATGGGGTAATGGATTTGAGGTTTCGATTGCTCGTCTTGAGTGTTCAAAATAACTAATATTATAGAACAACAAAGAATATTATTGAAAGTTTGAATTCGAGAATTTTGATTAAAAATTGAAATGTGAAATGTTTGAGTAACAATTGGAATTCAAAACATGTCGAGTATGAATAACCGAAAGTTTGAAAAATAAGTCACATGAAACGTTCGAACAATCGAATATCGATTCATTTCGATATTCAGTTCGAGGTCTTGCTCTATTGGCTGAACTTAGCTGAGTTGATATTATCGGTTATTATAAAGTTAATGAATAGCTTCCTTAAAAAGTGGAACTGGCTCTTACCCCCCCATCATGAATGTTAATCAGTAGCAATTTCCTTAAATAAAGTTGAACGGTAAAGTAGAACGCTTTAAATGCTTCTTGATTTAGAAACAAAGGTTAACGACATGTTTTATGAATTACATGACTAATAAACAATGTAATGTTAAGACTTGTAGGTCGAATCGTCGCTATGTCGTATTGGGAATAAATTTTATTTAATTATGTAATGGATTTTAGAAACATATTTTAATGAACATTATCTCTCTCTTACTATTAACATAAAATCAATTATGAAACATAGATTAAATATTTCGCAGTTACTTCAAGAACCAATTAAACTTAAACAGCAAACAAATAAAAGCGTATTAATTGCATTTAACAAAACTCCACGCACATGCATTAATTTAAACTGACATATAAGAAAAAAAACTTCAATGCAAAAATCTTACTTTTCCACTTGGCTTATAGCAAGCTCTGACGTCTACCATATTGTTCAACAAAGTATGAGTGTCATCTGCGCCGTCTAGGCCCAATTTTTCCACCAATTCCTCCCTCGTACGTATCATTTCCCAATTCGCGATATTATATCCCATAGAAGCTTCTGAATCGTTGCAAATTGTCCACCTCCAACTCGTACCCCCAGTGACAATTTTATTAACGCCTCTTCGTTTGAACTTTACTACGTATTTGCTGTCTTATTATTCGATATCTTCCAAGTCCGTTGCTATAGGCCCACTGTGTACCTAAATGCCAAACAAGAAGAATGTTCACACAACGCGATGAACAATTACAAGCCACGTGCGAGCCCTTCCGCTGTCCACAGATTTCGTAATCCACTCACTGAATCCAGTCGCACATGCACACAACGTATCGATTTGACGTGCGCGCAACATGTAAACATGAGAGCACGCCACTCGAGCGTTCCGTTCCTGTGATATCACAAATTGAACAAATATCACGCATTTCCATTAAATCACGATCGTTTTATAGAATCGAGAAATCATACGTTATACCCGCGTACACAAATGTCCGTATACGAGCACTGCTACGTCGGTAACTCATTTGCTCGTGAGTAGAAAGCGCAACCTTTTTATTCACCGACTACGCGTCTTATTGTGTATCCTTCCTCGCCGCTTGAGTCTTAAGGGAAGGGAGACCACGAACACGCTCTACAGGCTATCCAAAAAGTCGAGTACCGGTATTAATATTTATTTTTGAGCCGACGGAACCAATGAAAATGAATTAGTAAAAAGATCATACATAAGTATACAGTGTTTTGTTACTTTCGACTTAAGATACTATGGTGTGTACTTATGATTCTTAAATGCTTCTATTACATAGATCTAAATGATTCCTTTGATGCATACGTACGCAGGTTACCGGGTATAGACACCGTGTAACGATTATATGATAATTTAATATCTGTAAATTTATATTATTGTCCGTGGAAAATGAATTTGTTTACGATAATAAAAGAGAGCGCGTCTCTGAACGACTTTAAAGTTCGCGGTCAGTGTACACACGATCGTGTAGAAACGCAATCGGTTTAATCTGATGTAACACTGCCAAGCGTCACTCACCATTTCATCCGTGTAAGACCGATTTACATATCGATTTTGGAGTGCCTGTGGGCATGCCGTGATGGAAGACGGTCCGCTCGAGAAACGGTGTATAAAAGATGCCAAATGAACACTGAATTTAAATAAATGAAATGTGAATAAAAATTACACAAACATATTCTTAGATATTAATGATTATGCGTACGTGTCAATTACATGAAAAATTATGTATTTCACAGATTAAAGATAAAAAATTTTATACACAAATTTCAGTTTAATTTAAATACATATTTTTACAAAGAAAACGACACTGGTTAATGTTGATAGATTTTCTTTTAAAAAAGAAAGCGATTCGAAAAAAGAAGAAAAAAGATTGTAGACTATTCCGAAAGCTACCTACGGCTGCTTCATATTGACGTACCACTATTGTGTCGCTATTTAATATCTAGAAATGGCAGTTTGGCGTCGCTACTGTTATTGACGTAAATACTAGGTGTCTTAACCATAATAGATATTTGAATTGTCTAAATAGGTTATAGAGTATATAAAATGTTTGATTAAAATATTTTTACATTAAGTGTATTATTCAGAAAGTGACTTTTAATACGTTTTAATAGTATTTTGATAATGGGTTCCGATCATATGCATAGACGATGGAGTAATTTGCGAAAAGTATTAGAAAGACCGGGTCCTTTTTGTAGACCAGATTTCGAACCATCAACAGAAACTTTACAATTTTTATTAGACAACTGTAAAATTCTTGTTATTGGTGCCGGTGGTTTAGGATGCGAATTACTTAAAGACTTAGCATTGATGGGATTTAGACAAATTCATGTGATTGATATGGATACGATTGAATTATCTAACCTTAATCGGTACGAAAATATATGATGGTTTACCAAAAGACTTTCGAAAAGTTCATTAAGAAAAGAAAAAACTTTATTAAAAAAATTGCAGGCAATTTCTCTTCCGTCATAAAGATATCGGTTCGTCAAAAGCAGATGTAGCTGCGAAATTTATAAATAATAGAATTCCAGGTTGCAATGTTATACCGCATTGTTGCAAAATACAAGATAAAGATGAAGAATTTTATAGACAGTTTCACATAGTAATTTGTGGTCTTGACTCAATAATTGCAAGAAGATGGATCAATGGTATGTTGTTGTCTTTATTAGTTTACGAAGATGGAGAATTAGATCGGTCCAGTGTAATACCAATGATTGATGGAGGAACAGAAGGTTTTAAAGGAAATGCAAGAGTAATACTACCTGGTTTAACTGCTTGTATTGAGTGTACTTTAGATTTATATCCTCCTCAGGTAAATGTTCTAAATATATTTCTTTTTAATTAATACAATACAGGTTTCCTTAAATTATTATTATGTTGAAATATAGGTCACATATCCATTATGCACAATAGCAAATACTCCACGTCTACCAGAACATTGTGTAGAATATGTAAAAATAATTCAGTGGCCAAAGGAAAATCCATTTGATTGTGCTATAGATGGTGATGATCCTCAACACATAAATTGGATTTATGAAAAATCCAATGAAAGAGCAGCACAATTTGGAATACAAGGCTTAACATACAGATTAGTACAAGGTGTAGTTAAAAATATTATACCTGCCGTAGCATCTACAAATGCTGTAATTGCTGCAACATGTGCTACAGAAGCATTTAAACTTGCTAGCAGTTGTAGTGCTTCATTAAACAACTATATGGTATTTTACTATGTCAGTCTAAACTAGTCGTCTGATAATATAATATAATGAATAAATAATTTTTTTTTTAAAAGGTACTCAATGATGTAGATGGAATTTATACTTACACTTATGAAGCCGAAAAAAAAGAAGATTGTGTGGCATGTAGCCAAATTCCAAAAGAAATCGAAATTAATAGCCCAAAATTTAAATTGAATGACTTGATAGAACTTCTATGTGAAAAATCTGACTTACAAATGAAAAATCCAGGTCTCACAGCATATGTTGATGGGAAAAATAAAACACTGTATATGCAAACTGTAGCAAGTATCGAGGAAAGAACTCGTGAAAATCTAACAAAAACATTGATCGAACTTGGACTTAGAAACGGCAGTGAGATAAATGTTGCTGATAGTACTACTCCCAATGCAATTGTATTAAAATTAAAATTTGTATATTGTAATTTAGATATGTGATAATCAGAAAATTTTTCGTTTTGTTCATAAATTTATGGCTACAAATTATTATATATATTTACAGTACTTATATTGCTTTTTCGTTAATTTAAAAAATAATGTCGAGTAAAAGGTTTATCAACATTATCTTCACCGAAATAATAAAAACAAAATTGTCTTCGATGTATCATTTTTGAACGAATCTATAAATAGATATCACAAGGTGACGTTACTTTGAACATTATTTTTAATATATTGATTTACTCTAATTTTGTGTAATAAACTGGTATACCTATTTTTTCATAGTACTAGTCGTTTTGACTATCTTTATGTATAACAGAAGCAAGTATTAAAACTAGATTAGTTTATATGACATACCTGTTATATTAACAATAAAGACACAGCTGCAAATATGATTCTATATTTCTGATGTTTTGTTTCTCACTTTCATCAGAGATTATATATCATAGAAAAATTTGTGAGTTATTTGTAAAATTCTGTTTCTTGTTCGCTAACTTTAAATCGACAAATTTGACGTACTTTAGAAATAGACATTATCTTACAGATCAATGCATTAGTATGACTATTTTAAAAGAGAAAAAAGGAGCAATTTAATGATTCGCGAAATATGCACGTGTCAAAATCTATACTTGTTAGCTTGTCATTAATATTTTTTTAATAACAATTTCATATCACCATATTAAATTTTATGTTAAGTATGAATTGTGCACAGTCCTCTTTTGCATTATATAGATACTTTATTGATGACCTATTTGCAACAATGAATTTTCATCCCTTATATCTTTCCATTGTTTAATAATAAGTTTCATTAAAAAACTTCGTCAAGGGATAATACATCATGAGTATAGTCTTTCCATATTTAGTAAATACTTTTATTATAAGTATAGTACCAAATCAAATGGAAAGATACTCCAATCAGAGCAAATGAAGGACAGTGCACGATGATCTAAGACATCTTTTGTTTTACGAGCACACTCGGTAACATTCGACATATGCACAACTTGAGTAGAAAAAATATCTAGAACAAATACATTATCTATCCTCCTTATACAAAACTATTATTACATTGTATCAATATTTCATAATTTTCGCCTTTTTACCTCGATAAGACGATTACTTCCCCAAGAATCTCTTGTTCTTAGGAAGATTCTTTCTTTTTCACTCGAATATGAAGAACACAAAATTATAATTATTTGAGTAATGTGTAGTCTAAATACTCAGTAAAATTTGCGCAAAGTCAAACTGAATAATAATAAAATATTTTCTGACGGTTGGGGAATTCTTGCAACGAAACACTTCGAGGTTCATTGGCATTTCATCGTTTATACGGAATTCCAATATGGACATTCATTCCAATTGTACAATTCGAAATCAGATGTTTTTTTATGGTATTAGTTATTCATTTACTAGACACGTGATGCACAAAATTAGCTAGTGCAGAACTAGCATTGGTGTCAAAGTGAATTATGTCAGATTCGGCAGTGCATTCAGAAACTGTAGAAAATATCAATTGTGATTCTATAAAAATGGCTTTCCATTAGCGTAATTAAATAGACATTATTTAACACGAGATCATTTTTTTGTTAACCCAAGAACATTTACAAAATGAAAATCGTATTTTATTAGTTCCTTCTATGAAAGAAACAGACGGTATGAATGCACGTGCAATTCACTTTCTGGCTCGGTCGAATTAAATTGCATAACAGTCATACTTTGACCATTAGCTGCAAAATAGATTTCACATGTTCCAAATGTAATACATCAGCTGTAAAATGTCTTACGAATAATCATTGTTTAGTTTATAATAATACCATGGTCCATTAAAAGATACTCCGATATAAAAACGTAAGTGTCAATAAGTGGTGGCATAATAAGTGTCGTGAAGTCAAATTCATTCAGGGCAGAACCTGACACTTTTTTTTAAACTAATACGAACACGGACAGTTTCTGAATTCATATAAATATAGTTACGTAATTAGATAAACCGCAATACAGACGTGGTAAAAATATAACGATATGACGAATCACAATTTATCAATTGTGTCCCAAAAAAGGGACAAGTATTTAAGGTACTGTGACGTTGAAAAGTGTCTAATTTCTGCTCTGAAGCTGTTCAACAAAGGGTAACGCAATGTGCACGATTTTAATACGTCATGAAGAACGCTAAAACGGTTGTGTTAGGCCTTGGCATCGACTTCCATCGCCACTTCACCTGCAGCTTTCTCGGCCTTCTTTCTCATCCTTTTTGCAGTCCGTGGATTTACCGATGTGTGTAAAAGAGTCTATAAACAAAATAATTAGCTAGTATAGAAATCTACAAGATGAGAGGAAATTTAAATAAATAACACTTAAACCATACTTTTAATTCAGGATCTTTAACCGCATATTCAGATTGATAAATATCAAGATCTAAAGGAATTCCTGTAATTTTGTGTTGCCGATTATGCATTAATAGTACTGTAAATTTGAATTGTGCAGCAAATTCATTTGGTTTTTCGTATAGTACCTATAATGAAGTGAATCGACAATAAAAACATAACGGCGTGAATATTTTTGGTTAAACACAGAAGTTATATGTAATTAATAGACTTACTTGGAATGGTTCAATCAACCTATGACTTACACATTCCACAACTGCCATTTTAGCCTTTTTTTCGTCCTCAAAAGTTCGTAAATTAAATGGCATAAGACCATGTTTATGAGTGACTTCAGAGTAAAACATGCGTGATGCTTTTAATTTCAACTGATATGTTTCCTCTGTCTTTTTAAATATAGTAACTCGAGTGTCCTGTTCTCTGCCTACGCCTTCACCAGTACTAACTAGCACATCCATAGCATACACCTAAGTTGCAGAATTCATGTATATTGCATAAATGTTTTCCCCACCTTGATTGAGTCAACATAATATTACACTAAATAAATTCTACCTCATAAGCCTCAAGAGTGTATTTTTCATGTTCTTTCTTCTGTGCATCATTTGGATTTTGAATAATAGTTTTCTCTCCATCTATTTTGAATTGTTTTAATTGATGACTTAACATTCCTTCAATTGGTTTACATTTATATACGTCACAAATTTTTTCTACTGTTTCTGTTATCGTGTAAGTCTATATAAACAGAAGAAAATATTACACAAAGAAAAATTAAGTAATTTATAAACATAGAAGTGTAGTATACATAAATAACATACCTCTGTACCTGGCTGTAAAAGTCTTAATGCAGCTTGAGATGCATAATGTGCTGCTAGCACTACATCTGCTTTCCTACCAGTAACTTTTTCTGTTGATGAAGAACCTATAACAATAGTATGTGCAACTACTGCTATAAAGCCATCAACATGTGCCCCAAGGTCTCTAAAAATAAGAATTAATAATTATTTAAGAGAAATGAAAACATTTAAGTTATATTTGAATATATTATATATTTCTGGATAATAAACTTACACTTTTACCATATCCTCATCTTTGAGTATAAGATCTGGTTCACTTGCAATCGGTGAAAAGTGACATATGCAATTATTGACCGATATGCATGTAGGATTTTTAAGCTCCTTCTCCTTTTTAAAAACTTTACTGGTTTCATCCAATATCAATTTATCTCCAAACTCACAAATTTGTCTCACCGATGCTCCAGCAACACATTCATCTAAAACTTGCTTTAATACCCCTAAAAATATAAAGTATCATTTGTTACTTGAAACTATCTAATTTTTATTTCAAATATTATATGACTATACATAGGATTTCTATAATATAAATAAGAGACAAACAGATCAATAAAACAAATCAATAAATGCATAAATAAGTCACTAAGATTAAATTTTTTTTTTCGTTTTGCATTAAAAATGCATGTTTTGCATTAAAAATGCATATTTTGCACAATGTTAAAATAAAATATTGTAATACCCTTTATAATAAATAATGACAATTTAAGATTATTAATATCTCATATTTTTATATATCTTATTTTTATATATATATATTTTTTTTTTTCAACCAATGTTATAATTTTTTACAGGTTTAAAAGAGTATCACATAATTATAATTTTAAAAAAATGAATTACTAAGTATCACTTAATATTATCAAGAAATACTACATAAAAATTCATGTTATATTTTTACAAACAGTATTAAATTGGGTTAAAATTTTTTTAGCATTTGTAATGTTTTTTAAATTTTGTAAAAAATAAAAAAAATAATATTAAAAATACATTTACAACTTGTAAAGTGCATTTAAGTATATAATGCAAAAAAAAACTTCATCTTTTGTAATTTTTTCTAAAAAAAATATTTCTACATTTTGTTTTGATCAAAAGTTATAACCATTAATTTGTTCTACGAAATATTAATTTTCCTTTATTATCGTTCGAAACGAACAGAAAAATTAACACTTAAAATCGATGACCCACTTATATATAAAATTTGAAATAAATTTGTCTTAGATGATTTCACACATATTTTGAATAGTGGGTTCTTTTATTTGGCATATCAAAATTACAACTGAATATTCTATTCAAGCAATGATAAAAACTAATATAAAATAAAACTAGCTATACAATGTAAAAGTTTTCATTGAATATCTGACTGCTGGTCTTTTTACGGAAATGGAAACACACTGATACAGGAGTGCAAGCGGATTATGGTTCTTAGTATGAACATTACGTTGCAATAATGAAATGAAACGGATAGTTTTTGGAGCTGTGTAACAAAAAATTAATAATTTCTTAACGATTAATCGTTAGGAAAACAAAGTACTCAATATATCGATAAGTTATTGAAATGTAACAGTCGCTGCTAGCTATCCCACATGGTAAGAGCCCGGCATTAGCGCGCCACATTCCATATGGCCAAGCGGAAAATAAAACATTACGAGGCCTATGCATGAACCAGGCAATTTCATTTTTATTTGTTGAGCTTTATTAGTTAACGTTAAGTCATTTCCTTACGATTTACGATGTCACCAGCCATTTTATACTTGGTGACAACGATGTCTTCGGCGATGGTCCTCTCAGTGTCCTCTTTGTCGGCCATGTCTTCAGCACACTATGTTACGATCACGTGACTTAGAGCTTCTTTGCAGTTGCTTCCTGTAACAGTTAGCGCTACTCACAGTCCCAAGTTAACCATGTGTTCCGAAATTTCCTATTTACGATCTCTATTGGTTCCTCTTAATTGAGAATTGCAAATATTATTATCTTGATAATGCCTTTCAATGTTTCTTCCGTAGAAAAACGAAGTATATTTTGAAAAATATGATATTATATATTGTTATTTATTTGTCCATACATTTTTTATTTTGTATATTTAATGGCATTAACGAACTTAAAGGAATTGATCAGTATTTAAAAAAAAAATGTTAATAAAATTAAATTGATAAATATTTTTAATTGTTACTGTTCAAAATAATTTAAAAGTATTTACTTATTTCATTTATATAAAATGTTTGCATAAAAGCGTAATCCTCCTATCTGACTTTGTAATGTACAATGTTGGTCGACTTGCATCTTTCTAAAATGTGTTTCATGCCTTATGGATCCTGAGGTTGATCGTGTGGTTCATTGGAACGCGGATTTGATTTGCCTTGCTTTAAATTCGAATCGTAACTATGCCTTCAGGTAAACTCTCTCATGAAATAAAATTAAGCGACTAATACTTCGTTTGTTCGAAGATATTTTCAATATCGGAAATCTTGATATTGTTATACTTTTACCATTTTTTTCACGACATAACCAAACTTTCCGTGGAACGCAGCATGCTTTCAATATTGTACTACTACATATTAAAAATCTTTTTTAAAAATATTAGTTTTAATCTACATCTATTTCTATCAGGAAAAAAGGGGAAAAAGAAGAAGGGCACAACTTGTGGTTTAATGGCATTCTTGGCTGGGAGGGGTGGAATACCCATTGTGCCAGTAAAACCATCAAGCAGCTGGGCTGACGATGTGGAACAAGAACGTGGTAAAATAATTGATATTTTTTTTTGTTTTTTTTTTTTCTACATTTTTAATTTTTAGTTCGTACCTGTGTTTGAATGTGTATATATTTGTGTATATGTATACATACATATATACATTTATATGTGTGTACATATACATACATGTACGCATATAGACGATATGCGCGCGCGCGCGGAGTGTATGTATGCCATAATTTTTATATTTTATATATATATATATATATAAAATATAAAAATATATATATTATATATATACATATATATA